ATGAAAAAACCCCGCCTCACGCCCCCCCCCTTCCTCCTGGGACTGCTTTTTACTTTTTTTTCCTCAGCGCAAAGCCAGCCCCAGCCCAGTCCAGGAGGGTGCCACAGAGAGGGGTTTTGGCACACCACAGTTCTGGGGCTGCTTTTTGCGGTTTTTTTGTAGCATGAAGCCAGCCCCAACAGCCAGGCCAGGCACACTTTGTCAGCAGCAGGAGCAAGAAGACAGCAAAGGTCAGCTGGGGCGGTAGAACGCAGGGCACAGGGGTCTCAGAGTGCAGGGTGGTGAGGGCAACTGTGGCTAGGACTGGGCTGGGGCAGCTGTGGGTTCCTGGGGCATGATAAACAGCCCCAAAGCTGTGCGGTTCTGGGGCTGCTTGCTGCCGCACAAGGCAGGGTGCAGGGTGGCCAAAAGGGCAGAGACGGGGGGAAATAGGTGGGGGAGTTGGAGGCAGCCTTTACCTACTGAGGGTCAGGGCTGGGAAGGACCAAGCCCAGAATGGCTTGGATTGGGGTGGGTAACAACCTGCAATTCTTGGTTAACAATGGCAACCAGGACTGCCAGGATTTACGACCACATCACTTAGCAGCAGAAATTCCAGTCCCAATTGTGGTTTTGAGTCGAAGACTACCTATACATCATTTGTGTGATGACATTGTGCAAATGACATCATCTGCATCAATTTACATAATTTTCATGATGGTGTCATTATACAAATGACATAAATTGCTGTGTAAATTTAAATTTAGTTTATTGCATACAAAGTCTATTGCACTGAGATCCAATAGAGGTATTCACTTAATTAAATTTTAATTAATTTCAAATTCAATAAATCAGGCTAGATTTGCTCTGAGTCTGCTCAGTGCGACCCGCTCCCTCACAAAGTTTTTTTTTAAAGAAATAATTTAAAACATAATGAAATGAAAAGATGCAAGACTAAGTTATACAAATGAAATAGTGAAAATGTATTTGGCATCTGAACCATTGTTCAGGAAATATAAGGTAAGAGTATACACATTTCTATATTCTTTCCTTAGCCCCCCTTCACACAGTAACAATTAGTCACACTATTTCACACCAATACTGCAACATAAATAAGAATCAGTAACCTCCTACTTAGTAGCTACTATATATCAAAGTGAAGTTTATTCATAGTGCAAATAAATGATTATGGAGTCAATGGCCCCTGACTCTATAATAAAAAAAACCTGGATTTTTACAATTCTTAAAGTTCCTTTGCCTTTCGGTCAGTATCATCCACCCACTAGATAATTTAGTAAGTCGATCATTATCCTAAGAAAGTAGGAAGGGTTGTATACGGCCCTCAGATCTCATAATCTTTTTGTTCATAGGGTCAAGTGTCCACTAAGGTGCAGAAATGAGAAAAAGATAAAGACAAAAATGAGACAAAGAAAATGGAAAGGAAAGAGAAAGAATGTGTAAAGGGTTCATTTCTGTACGTTTAGCAACTTGCTTCCCTCTTAGCGCGATACTTGGTCATCACTGGGCCACTGTTAAGTACTTACAGCCTTAAGAGAATTACCCTTACTATTCAAGCATCTTAACTAACTTCTCTGAAGCTGATTAATGCCATCATGTTAGAAGGTATAATACTCTATTCAAGAACAAGAATTGTTTCTTACTACTGAATTCTGACACTCATGTTACATCTAGAATCCAAACTAAGAAAGGAATTAAGTAACATCTAGATATATCAACCTGACATCTTACCTTCTGTACAATTTCCCTGCACAGCTGCTGCCTCTTGCCACGATTGCTCAGTGCCGTTAGTTACCGGTACAGCTTCTGAGTTTCCCTGCATGCTTTCTTGCCATACCTTTGCATTAGGATTTAAGCTGGCACCTTTCGAGGTTACCTGCTGAGAAAACAGAAAATATGAATTAGAAAATAATAAAGACTTCAGAAACTCATTTTGGATCTTTTTATTGTTCTTTACTATTCCATGTTAATATTATTGATGTACAATCATTCTACTCAGGCAATCTACAGATGTGTTTAATGAATATACTTGTGATTTATCATTGCATGCAATCGAGTAAATTTAGAGTCTCTGTTATTCCTCAATCCCAAAGCGCTCAGTTTAGGAGTATAGAAATATTGTGAAGTTCTTCTAGCCATTCAATCATCTGCACATCTAAAGTTTTGCTGTTGGCACGTGGTAAAACCTGGCTCTTAGAAGATTTTTCTAATCTTGCTTACAGCCTTTTCAGTCCCTCCTGCGAGAACCAAAATCCTGTTCACTGGAATAATACTTTCCTGAACAGAATTACATCTTGAAATAAAACACAAGAAAAGCCTCTTTATTAAGACAGCATAATGATACTGAACAAGCACTGACCATCTTGCCACAGAGAAGCACAAGCCAGAGAATAAGGAAGTTGAATTCCCAGAGTCTAGCCTTCTGGAGTCTCTCTAGCATCAAGGAGTAGTTTTAGTACCATCCCCTGTCCACAGAACAGAAAGAATAGGAAATAAGGAGACCGTTTGGATGGCCATGCATATACTTTTGCTCCCATACAAGTTCAAAAACTGTAACAGCTATATAGTTTTGCAACTAGTAAACTACCTGCACAATTTGTCCTAAAATATAAAATCTCTCCATCATGATATATGAAGGAGTTATTTTGAAAAAGAAAGGCATGCTTAGATTTTATTAATTTAAAACTTGATACAGAAATTGAGTTTCAACCAAATTTCCCCTTAAAATGTGTCCCAAAAGCATTCTTAAAAAATAAAATGCATAAAACCTTAAAAGAACTGTTCTCCACATTAATTCCACAAGAATTAAGTACCTAGGATAGCAAAAAAGTAAGGCAGAACGCCACTTAAGGAGTGCATCCTTGTTTCATAACATCTTTAGTTTTCAGAAGTACCTCATTTCTGATCAAACAGTGGATTCTGCATACTGAGTGACTACTGTAAAGCACGACTTAATTGGCCAATGTACAAAGAAGTGCATTCCAAAGGCAGAAATTTACATAAAAATTATTAGCACTGATAAAATATAATGACTATAGCATTGTTAAGTGCAAACTATAACAAGTGCTCAAGAATTCCAATACTCCTAAAAACAGTAGTAAAATAAATTGTTGGTGATTTCTCAGGCAGAGAACCAAGGATTTTTTTTTTTTGCAGAATTCATTTAATTCTGGATTCTGCAACAAGACACAGACATTACCCATGAATCATTCAATATCAGAAAAAGTAAGTTTTAATGTACAGTGGTACCTCAGGATACGAATGCCTCTACTAACAAACT